TGCGGCTGGCCGGCCATCAGCAGCCTCCCTGCCACCTGGAAGGGGTTCCGCCAGAAGGGTTAAACTCCTTAAAGGTTGAAAACCTCTGTCTTAGGTTGGTCTAATAAAAGATATCAAATTCACTCAAGGAACCTTGTCTGTCTTAGGTTAAGAAACTTCAAAAGTTTGTCCTGTGATATATCAGGCAAATGTCCAGGTTTGCTGTATCTTTTATTTAAATGTAACAAGAAAAATGTTTCTTTGCTATATTTTACCCTGTTTTAACATGCAAGAAATGTTAAATTTTGAATTTTATTAATGTTTCAGTTCTTCCGGTCTGTCAACTGCTAAAATAATTTAATAGATAATTGTGCAGCATAATAGATCCTCTTATGACTGAGACCTGTTTATCAGAATAGGTGCATTGAAGTTGTATGAAACTTAAATAGCAGAGTACATTAGGTAGGTGGACAAAAGCAGTCAAATTGGAGGGGATCACAGCAGTGGCTTGCAGGACAAATGAACTACTTGAAATAAGACTTAATAATACTAGTCATTAAATATGTTGGGCTTTTGTACATCTGGTTTGTGAAAAATCAGAAGTATCTTGAAATTAGAAGTATGCTTCAGGTGGCTTGAAAACAAACTTTTCAGTACTGTGTTGAAAGCAGTTGTGGTGGTTGCATTTACTGATTGCAGTTGTATGAATGTGAGAGACTACAAAGGCAGAAAGATTCATTAAAAAAATTCTTAAGTGTCAACTTCTCACTTTCTAAATTGTGTAATGGTGAATTTGGAAATAGATTGGCTCTTACTTGGTATCAAAATGTTTCAAGATACTATTTCCTGTCCTGGATTGCCGCCTTGGCTAGACAATATGGTACAAATGGAACTCCCAGGAAGCTGAGTTGCAAGGATCAGCTTAAACTTGTTGCTTTATTTCTGTGTTGCAAAGCTGCGTAGTTGGCTACATTTGAGACGCTAAATCAAATCATTCTGTTTGAACAAAAAGTAACATTCAGTCATCTAAGATGGCGTACTTAGTGAAGATGAACAGAAGGCTATGCTTATGGAAGATGGACAAGGGTTACAGCACCCAACAGGGTCAGATTGCAGATTTCTCTACTGCTATGCTGCAAATGAGAGAGAATTTTGTAAAAAGGACATGTGTGGCTCTGGTGTGTAGAGAGCCAGTTCTGCTTTGTGCAGCGTGCATTTTAGTTGAACAGTTGTATCAGAAGTGAAACTGTTAATGGTATTACTGTAACTTGCATTTAAAAAGCAGAAGGCAGGTTAGAGATGCATTAAATAAAGGACTTAAAGTAAGTGAAGCCAGTTACTCTTCTGGGTAAGAGGAAAGGTTAGCATTGTTCCAGAAAGACCAGTAGTATGATGTTTTTGGACAAGCAACAAGAACAACTAGTTTCATTTCCTCAAGAAAAGAATGGTCTTCCCCTCATTTAGAGGTGAGAAGTTTTGTTATCTGACTTAATCTTCTCAATTTCTGATCCAGGTTTAGAACAGATTTGTTTGTGGCTGAAAATACTGTGAGAGCGCTTATTGTGTGGATCTGGTACTCAACTTGAGCACTATGTTAGTGAGTGTTTTGTGAATATCCTGTCCTGTCTTTTAGTAGAGAGAATTTTAAGTTCTTAAGAAACTAAATAATAGGACTGTGCGAAGCTTCAGTCACTGATTCAGTTTGGTGGAGATTCGCCCCAATTCAGCAGCCAAACCTCCAAATCTGAATTGAATCGGGAGACCCTTTAATCTCTCTGAATCAAATCGGAACCGTCCAAATAAATTCTGAGATTTGATGATTTGGACATAAACATAACTTTAAATGCGTTTTCTACATACCTCAAGGTACCAGGTGGCTTGTGAATGCTGAGCTAGTGAGGCGGAGGGAGTGTTCCACAGGAGTGCGAGGGGGGCGGTCCTTCCTGCACGCTTGGCAGCAGACCCAGAAGTGGACCAGAAGCAATGCTGGGATCCACCGTAGAGCATATAGGGGACCCTCCTCCAGCTTGGCGACTGGTGCTTCCTGGGTCTGGGGGGGGCACCTGGGGTCCACCTGTGACCAATCGGTGAGCTGGGGGGGAGGTCCCCCACGGGTTTGGCGGTGAACCCAGAATTAGTTCTGGTGCACTTCTGGGTCCGCTGCTGAGTATGCGGGGGGGACCTCCGCACTCCTGTGGGATGCTCCATCTGCCCCGCTATCTCTGTTCATAAGCCATGCCTGATACCTCAAGGTATGTAGAAAAAATATTTAATGCTGTGTCTATGCCCAAATCTCTGATTCTCTGAATCGGCATCGAATCTTCAGATTTGGATTTGACTGAATCGAATTGGGATAGTGACCCAAATCAACAAATTGAATCATTGTCCCCTGAATTGGGCCAAATCTGAATTGAATACGCCCTGCTTCGCACAGCCCTACTAAATAGTTGGTTGTAGTATAAAAGAGAGAAGTTGCGAGAGTTACTATTTTTCAACTTGGGTATCTGTCAAGATTAGTTAGTTAGGTATGTTAACTTTGCACTAAACATGGGGAAAAATTAAAAAACTGATCATTAATTCATTTTATCCCCACTGCTTAGAAATAGGGATTATGTGTGATGTGTACGCTACTGATTAGTAGGCCTGTGCGAATAGGGAAGTATTCTATTCGGATTTGGCTGATTTGGAGGACAGTGATTCGTTTTGTATCACTGTCCTGAATTGATTCTGAAACTGGTTCGGCGCTGATTCGGAGAGATTCAGTCATTCAGATCAGCTGGGGAGAGGCAGGCATGGCTGCCCTGCCTGGCCCCATCCTCTGCCTGGCCCCAGCCTTCCAGCACTTAAAACAAAACAAAACAAAACAAAAACAAACCTCACTCACTGGCTGCAGGAGCAGCAATTGGGGCCTCTGGGCGCTGGTGGCAGAGCCCCCCCTGTGCAGCGTGGGGGGCCTCAGCCACCAGTGCCCAGAGGCCGTGGTCGCCGCTGCTGTAGCTGGTAAGTGTGGGTTTTTGTTTTTGTGTTTTTGTTATTGTTTGGTTTTTTGGGGGGGGGGGGTTGGGGTTTTTTTTTTTTTTTTTTGCTTTAAGTGCTGGGAGGCTGGGGCCCGGCAGAGCAGCCATGGGAGCTTCTCCAGCGGCTCTTCCTCCGGTGGGGGGAGCCACGGGGGCTTTGCCTTGCTGCTGCTTGAATCTCCTAAGCGGCCAAATCTTTTTCTGAAGCTTTTTCCGAATGGATTCAGATGCTCCTAATCTATTTCAGAGCCTTTAGTTGGTCTCCCGATATTAGATTTGGATTCGGAGATTTGGTCCCCGAATCGGTTACTAAAGCTTCGCACAGCCCTACTGATTAGGTTGTTGTAATGGTCCTGAGTAGCTGCAGTGTGCTGCAAGTGATTTGATTTACCTTTATTGCCACTCACTGCACCATTTCTCAGACCATTAATTCTATAATTTATTAGAAGTAGAATTCACAAAGTGATTGAAAAATCCTGTCTAAGACTGCCTCTGTGGTTCAGATGATCATCTTGATTTTGTTTTTTCTTTCTCCTAATGCCCCGCCTAAATTTCTCCACCCAAACGCTATTTATATAATAGACTAATGATTTTTTATTTTATCCCCACCTCCTTTAAAGTGTTGAGTTGTACAGCCTATCCTTTTCCTTCTAGTTGCAAGAATTCTGATGCTGTTTCAAGTTCATCCCCATTTGTCTTGTATGCATCTCTCTCATCTCACTTTTTAAGTTGTTAAGAGTGTTGCATTGTGTACAAGAGCTCTGAACTGTATGTTTGCTATTTTGAGGACTGCCTGTTGGCTCTAAGAGCAAGCTCACCGTAAAAGGAGATGTTGAACTTCCCAGAACACTGATTTTTTTTTTTTTTTTTTTTTCTTCAAAATATTTCACAGTTTGAATTTCTGTAGAGATTTCCCAAAACAAACTGCTTTCAGTAGGCAGTCTGATAAGAAACAGCTGTATAAGTTGGGCCTTGTCATTATTCAGTGTCTGAAAGAGCGAGTTTCTATCATGGAAATAATTGGAGCTTATGTTTTTTATCACAGTTGAAATAACTCATGGAGGGAGCTATTGTATAAATTTGTGACATGGGTATTTAGGGCTCCAGTCCTAATACTTGGGCATGTGCTTAACTTATTCTGTAAATTGAAATCAGTTTGATTTAAAGTGGAATCTTATGGATTGTGAAATTGAACATGTCTGTAAGTGGTTACAGAGTTGGCTTATAGGAGTCCATTTCACTAAAATCTATAAATTAATGCACAGTATGATTTTGAATTTAATTTACCTGCTTTTAAAAACCTGTGTTGGGGCTGGGGCCGTGTTGGGCCTTCTCTGGTGGGGGGAGGTGGGGCTGGGCCATGCTGTGCTCGGGGCGGGTGGTTGCAGTGCTGGGAAGGGTCTATGGGAGGGCTGCGGCCAAGTTTTTTTGGGGTGGCTGTAGCCCCCTTCTCCCATGGCCCCTTCTCAGTGCCACTGCCTGCCCTGAGCCCAGCCTGGCCCCAGCCTGCCCTTGGGGCCGTGTTGGGCCTTCTCTGGTGGGGGGAGGTGGGGCTGGGCCATGCTGTGCTCGGGGCGGGTGGTTGCAGTGCTGGGAAGGGTCTATGGGAGGGCTGCGGCCAAGTTTTTTTGGGGTGGCTGTAGCCCCCTTCTCCCATGGCCCCTTCTCAGTGCCACTGCCTGCCCTGAGCCCAGCCTGGCCCCAGCCTGCCCTGCCCCACCC